TGGCACCAGATTCTTTATTTGCACAATCAGTAGCTAATAAAATCTGGGCATCTGCCCAAATGTTTTGAACAATACTGACGGCTTGAATCAACTTTACTAACGTAAACGCTAGCCTACATTATTCAATCACTAACACTCCATTTTCATTTTCTTTCACACACGACAAGCGAAGGAAAACAAATTGTCCCTAGACGTTTCCGTTTATAAAAATGGGCCTGGAACACACGGACGGGAAAAATCAAAGAAAAAGTCAAATTTGACATGAAGCACCCATTTTCATTAATAAGTGCACACGGCACAGCGACATATCAAGCTAAGTGCAAAGAAAATATGCCGAGACCAGATTCCACATTTCTAGGACACTATAGGGCCCGTTTCAATTTATCAGGTACCCGTGGAGAGGACCGACAGCGGTAGGCAATCTGACGAGTCGCTGACTCGACGCGGACGGCCAGCGGTTGCCAGATGGGTCCAGGTTTCACCAATATCATAACGAAAAGCCTACATTTCCAGTCACATGAGCACATATTTTGGTTATACAGGAACCGAAGGCTACTTTCATTACTTTCACAAACATTGCCCCAACGTTTATATTACATCTCCGTTCACCTCTTGCTCTGCTGATACTTGATGTTGCGTGTTCACCTGTTTCCCCACTTCTAAAAGAAGAAAAGTCCACACGACCTTTGTCCACTCGTTTATGATTTTTCAGTTGTTGAAAACGCCGTTGAGTGTTGGCGAAATGATCAAACGCTTTCTCTCCTTGTCCCCTCCCGCCCCTTGATAGATTCCTCCATCAATTTACCGCGGACGATTAATTGTTTCCTGGCCACTCCAAGATTTCATAGCCAGGGTTACACTGCGCCAAGCACATAGGAGCTGGTGCTTTTGTTGACCGGTCTGGCTAGCTATGCTATCACCGCCTGCACTTGGGTGCCTTGCCTCAGCCGTATACATGTACACCCAACCCCCTCACGGCAATGCTTGCCTTCCCCCTCCCTATCCAGTCCAATTGTTCTGTATCCGTCTGCTCCGGCCCCACTCGGTCAGACCAATCATTCTGCGACATCGGGTGCTTCAATTATGTTTGTACCGAGAGCAACTATGATGGAGTGGTGTGCAGGGTAACGGTCGATCTCGCCCGCCAGCGGCTGTAAAAGGAAAATGGCACTTGTTGGTCTGGAGTGAACGATAATGAATAAAGTGTCGGCCAACAAGAGAAGGAATTAATCACGTGGATGGTGTATCACTCCGAAGGGAAGCACTCCAAGTGGTCTGGCAATCAAGTGATCGGTCTCCATTTGCTCTCTCCTCTACCCCCAACACTGAAAACATGGACTTTCCTCCAATGTATACCAAGAAAATGACGCTGTTAAATTGAAAACAATAACTCATTGCAACCAATATTGTCATATCTCTATATCTCATCATTTTGCTGTTGAACTTCGGTTCTTGTGTGGCCATCCGTTTATTAAAGCTTCAGTTCACTATTCTTAATAACGATAAAATTTATTAATCTCACGCAGGTATTGTTAACGTTGGAGGCAATAATGGCACATCTACAGGTTGTACAAGCATATCCAAATGACAAGGCCTGAAAGTTTACATTTTAAGGAAAGACGGACATTCAGGAGTAAATTAATTCCTGAATTTTTAACTGTAGACAAGTAAGGTGTGTGATTTCTCTCGCGCGTTCACAATCTCCTTGAGATTGTTATGGACTTATCCATTTTACTCGCATTCCTCTCCCTATAAGAAAAAACTTATTAATTCAAACCATTATTTACATGAAGATCGAGAACGTTATATTTTTCAGGGATGAGCATTAAACACTGGTAGGCCTATTTGGAAATTCTCATTTATTTTCCATGGAAATAGGCATCGTTTTCGTTCTCTCTGATGAATGACTTTCATTAAAGGGAAATTTTATTCAATAATAACTCCGGAAAGCAGTAGCCCGGAAAGTAGAATATGTAGCTCGGAAAGTGCAAGAGGATGAATACAGCTTTCATTTTGTATCAGCATTAACAATGTAAGGAGTGTCTGTTGATGTCTTTTGAAATGAGGACACACGTTTACAGTGTTGTACAATCCATATCCGACGTTGAACTGCTCGGTGACTGAGCACTAAGCTCTAAACATGTTTCTCGATATCACCAGAAGAGGTCGCACTTCACGACACGCGGTTCGCAAATAGGCCCTAAACTAATACAAAACAGGTAGCCCACTGTACATGTTCATACATGTGTTTGTTATATTGGACTTTCCCAGCCAAAGCTGACCAATAGCTGCATTGACTGATAGCCGTCAGTTGATTTATTCATTAACCTAACAACCAACCTGAGAACGATAACGACCCGTGGATGGTTTCTTCAGTAGGCCTACAGAATGCAACGAATGACTCGGAGCAGACAAAAATAAAGATCTACATGTATCTAAAACCTATAGCAAAAGGTGTAGCATGCGCGCCAATTTGTCAACCACACACAACACCTTCAGTCAGGTCCCACTGGTCGTGGGATAAGTCTAGTTGTAGTTTTAAGTTTACTAATTATCATACAACAGCTGAATAATCCCGTTGTCTATCGATGGGTTGTTGGTGATTAAGTGTCTTGGACCATGGAGGAAGTATCGTCTTAACATGGAGCAATTAAACACAAGTAGTTAGAGGGTGCACCCTCGCAAAAAGGCCCTAAATATGTCCGCCGAGCTCATTAATAAAGTTATACACTCAAAATATTCTATATTAGAGAGTCCTGAGAGCCATAAAATTGAGGAATTGGAGAAACGTGGCACTGAACCCCTGGCCCGGACTCTGGGCTTCAAATTCTGAGTAATTTGGATGCAGTTGGGTCCGAAAATGGCACTATTTGGCCGTTTTCCAGAGGGATGGTTTATCAAAATGGCTACTTTTCTGGGCAGGGACATTTTCTTCATTTTAGGGGTGGTCTACTTCTGGTGAAAATTT